ATGCTTGATTTATCTTGGATTTAGGGTTTTCTAAGTATTGATTTTATCTTGCCATACAAACCTAATTACTAGTAATTATATATAAAGCGATAAATTGCGGAAAATAAATTCTACGCTATTACATCATTTGGGGGATGAGGTATACAAGTTTACAAATAGGAGATAACAAGAAATTAAAGTCCTAATTATCTATTACAACCATATTGAATTGAATAATGTATAGGAAATGAATAAATATAATGTACAAGAAAACAAATATGATGTATAAAGGAAAACAAAAAAATGTTTTTGTTTTGGATTTTCATTAAGAAAATGTATAAGTTAATAAAAATAAGAAATAAGCTAAACCTTAAATCTAATTATTAATTTGTTAAGAAAAAGAATTAAATTTGTTAAGGAAATGTCTTTTTTATTTTAAAGGAAATAAAAATATATTAAATATGTATATAAACAAATAGAAATATTTTTAGATTTTTTATTAATAAAAAAATAAAAATAAACTTAATATTAATAATGATAAAAATAAATAAAAAAAGGAAATAAAATATGATATGAGAATGAGGTCAGGGGTGTAAAATGGATTTGGAGTGTGTTGTAGCAAAAACAAATTTTTGTACTAGGCCTGGCCCAATAGATTTTTGTTAGTCAGAAAAAGAAATAAAATATAAAACAACAATGGGTCTGTGTTGCTGAATGAAATAAGGGGGGTGAGATCTGAGCAAAAACATAAGGCCCACAGTAGAAAGCCCATCGTGTATGTTGTGGAACAAAAAAAAGAAATAAATGTTAGAAAAATAGCAAAATGGAAGTGTTGAGGCTCGTACCCATGCCCTCAACAATACACGTGCGCTGTCTTACCACTGGGGTGGCTATACATCCGGTATTAAAATTAAAACCATAAAATTATATTACAAAACGCTTCCATGGCCTGAACTTCATCTTCAACCTCACGCCATGTTTGAACCTGTATCTTTCTCATTTCGCAACAAAAATTGAAACTGTAAACATGAAAGTTACTCTATTTTCCTTCACGATTCCATAAATTTAAATAACTTAAACTATAAGTCAAAAATGAGAAAGAATTTTGTTGGCCCTAATCTGAACCCTAATTTTTCCAGAAATTTCAAACTCAAAATTTTCTAAGCTCAGGCAATATAAATGAAAAATATGGACATGGTTAGCTTCAAGGCCATGATATCAACATTTTATCTTTGAAAATGCAAGCCTAACAATTCCTAAATGAAGAGATGAAAGTTCAGAAAATTACTTCCAAAACTAGAAATCGTGGAATGAGTTTGAGCTTGTTTCAAGTGATGATGATGACCAGGTTAGCTTCCTCAAGTTCCCAGGAAGCTAATGCAACCCTTACTTGGTGCTGGAAGTGCTTGAGTCGTGCTAGAGAAGTCAAGATGTAAACTCTGTTTTTTGGTTATGAAAGTTGATGGAGATGGTGTTACAGTTGGATAACAGGTGTTGGGATTTTTTTATGTATGATGTTTAGAAGCCCTTGGAAACAAAAGGCCAAGAAACGAATGAGTGGTTTTTGATTTTGGGATTTCTGGCCAGAATATGCAACAATGGAGGTTTGCTATGTGGCTCTGGCTTTGGGAGTGTTTGAAGGCTTGAGCATTCGTGTGTTAGGTTGCAATATGTGTATGTATTTATAGGAAAGAGGTTTTATGTGCTACAACAAGCCAGGATTTGAAATCACATATTATGGCACTCTTACTTGTTTTTTAAGCACGCATGAAGAACATGTTTCCAATGTTTGTACCAAGCTATCTTAGAGTGTTTAGGACTTTAAACTAAGCCTGTTCGGACTTGTAGGAGTTGAGTGTGATCAGGACAACAAGTTAGAGGCTCAAGACAAGTTGACTTTGTGATTAAAGTCATTTTTCAAGAATGGATATGTTACTTTCTTCCAAAAATGGAATTATCAATTGGACAATGGCTCAACCACTTGGATTATAGCTTAATCAGTTGTGTAAGCATTCAATTAAGGAGTGATATAAAAATTTTAGGCCTACAAAGTGAAGATTATGTAGCATGGCTATGAATTTGGTTCATGTTCATCACAAAATCTGCCTTGTAATTCAAGAATGAAACCTTAACTTCATGGCTTCAGTTCTCATAGCTCAAACATGAACTCAATGAGTTCTTTGACATTTTGGAAATCTTGAAACATCCTCTAAAACTTCTATTTTGATCATTTTTGCAAAATCAAATTGGAACTATGTGAAACTTATCCAAGAAGTTAGGTCAAAAATCTGCCTACATGAAACAAGTTTTTGTTTCATGTACATGTCTTCATGAATTTATAACTTAAAATCCAAGAATTTATAGAATTTTATTTGTGAAGAAAATTTGTAGACTTACTCAAGATCTATAAATTTTATGTTAGAAGTTTTCTTTGAATCATTTTGCATCATGGTGGAAATTTGCCACAACGTCATGAAAAAAAGTAAATTTTCCAACACTTGGAAAAATTTCCAAGTTAGAAATTTTGACTTTTCAAAGTGAATTTTTACTTTTTGATTTCTTGATGAACAATATTCATATATTGACATGTCTTGATGAAATATGATTTTTGAAACTTGATTTTGATCAAAAAGTCAAAGTTTGACTTTTAAGTGTACAATTGGCTTTTTCATCAGTTGACTAAATTTCAATTACCAATCAATTGATCTTGAGAAGTGTTTTGAACTATGAAATTAGGTAAAAAAATGATGCATTTGAATCCTTGATATCATTCGTCAAACCAATAAGTCATGTATTTGGTCAAAAGTTAAAAATCAAGCATTCTCAATCAAAAACCATAATTTTGACCATTTTGTCCTTTTGGTGATCTGATCAAATTTCTTGAGGAATCGTAATCCAAAATTGACCAAATGGTTCTTATGAGTTCAAAATGTTGATATGGATAAAAAATAATGAATTTTGATTGTAAGTTGACCATAATTGACTTTTTACCCAATACAATTGATTTTAGGTCAACTGATCAATTGATTGAGCAAACTTGAACTACAAGACTTGAAATTTGACATGAACATTAATGAAGGTCCATAATGATCCATGAATGTCATATGGGGCATTAAAAATCCATTTGTCCTTGTTCAAACTCAAACCCTAATTTGATTCATTAGTGTTGAGGAAGTGCCTTGAACTGATCAATCCTTGTGCAATCTTGAGCAATTGAAGATCTTGTGAGGAGAATCTTGGAGAAATGAGAGGGAAAATTTTGGGGTACAACATGAGCATATAAGTGGATGGATCCTCACTTGATGGAGAGATCAATTTTGTGTGATACAATGTGAGCTAGAAAATGGAAGTCTAGTACTTTATAAGTGATATAAGGGGAGCAAGTAAGTGGATAGACTAATACTTGATGAAGACATTATTATGATACAATTTGAGTTAGAAATTAGGGGTTGACACTATAACTACAACTACCTATAAACTTAGTGGTTTAAGGTTTTGGGTAAATATGTGGCGGCTCTCTCATTTGTGGTTATTTTTTTATATAATGTGGATATTCTCATTATAACCCTACAAATAGTATTAGAGTTAAGGTTCTGATCGATCAAAAGAGGAAGGAAGAGAAACAAAAGTTTTGCAATTTTTTGCTATATAAAAAATGTAGTGGAGAGAGTTTGCAGTTTTTTCGTCTAAAAATAATAATTGAGAGATTTTAAATATTTTTTGGAGCCAAAATTATTGTTTAGAAGATTTGTATTTTTCTCCATGTAAAAATTGTAACTGTATCATTACTAAAAATACTTTGTTTTCCTGCAGATTTACCTGCTGGTTTAAGCTAAATTTCTGCAAAAAAAACATATTTCCAACGGTTTTTCCTACCGTTACTGGTTCTCACCTAATACCTTCGTGGGTATTTATTTCGGCAGAAAGATCCTATGGTAAATCCACAGATAAACCCAAAGTAAACTTTGTAGGTAAGAGCACATGAAATTCCACATGATAACACTCGGATAACAATCGTAGATAATTCTATAGGTAATTGAAATTTCTACAAAAAAATCATAACAAATTTTAAATCCGCAAATAATATCTTTCTCAACTATTAAATTGTTTTATTAAAATAGAGTTATTTATTTTTAAAATGATTATAATCAATGTTAATTATCAAGATGAGCATAATATAAAAATAAAAATCTAATTTAAAGTATTTTGAATTTAAATAAGACAATTCAAAACTAGTAACATTCAAATTCCAAGAGAAATCAAGTTACTAAAAACTTCTACAAAGTCGGTAACAATTACGTATACAGTCACATTATTAAAAATGAATCATACAGCCAAGCTACTAATAATATAACTTGTCCAACCAAATTAACAAGAAAAAACTATCCAAATTACAACCAAGTTGACAATAAAAACAATCTAAATCAAATTTCACTACTAATGTCTCCATCTCATTCATCGACGCCATCTTTATTTGTGTGATCAATTACAGTATTGGATTGGGTAGATGAGAAGAAGATCGAATGGACCAAAAAATTCATTAATAATGAAATTTTATTGTTCGTTTCGACCATCAATTTTTGTCGTCGTTGTAATTCTCGCTCTCTATCTTCTCTTGTTCTTGTCTTTGTAACGATGGATTTATATCATGGACTTGACTTCTCAAAGCATTAACTTCATGAGAGTTACTCATAAAACTTGTTAGTTAAGTTAATAATGAAACCAAAGTCTTAGTAACATTTCCAAGATCAAATACTCTCTCTTTCTTCTTTCCAACCTACTTTACCCATATATTCAAATCAGGATGTATTTCAATAATTAGGTGCTTATAAGATTCATCATCTCCCGGAACAGTTGAGTTATGAGAAGAAACCTCCAACTTTTCCATTAAAATTTATCTTTAAGAAAATTTTAAAAATAGTAAGGAATGACAATCAATGAAATTAAATAAAAGTGACACTTTCCAAAAGACTTGCATATGCAAACTTGAAATTCAATCAAATTAACACCTTTCAAAGTACTTACGTAATTAGATTCCACATGAACGCCCACCCAACTTTGATCCTTTTTACGATGGGTACAAAACTAAACTTAGTCAAAGATGGATCTACACCCTTTCCTTTTTGTATGAAAACTAATTTATGAAATATAATGAAAAACTTATAATACCATTCTATTTCAATGCAAACTGTGAGGAATAAATCCTCCAGTGTGAAGAGATGCACCATCCATAGAACATCAATTTCTTTTATTTGTTTCAAATGCTTTTTTGAACTAGGAGGAATTCCAGTGTACCGTTAATTTCTCTAATACCTCATCTCCCATCGAACCTAGTCTGTACTATAAATCTTTGCGAACATCTTGTATTAACCGTGACATCTTAGCTGCATGTCAGTTTTCAAAGTTGTGTCGCACATTAACCTTGTGTTTTGGTGACCATGTAAACTTTTTCTGTATAAAAAAACCTCGTTAGATCTATATTTAATATCTAACATCATTTTACATGAATAAAAGGAATCTACGCTAAAGAATGAGACGCACTCGCACTAAAAAACACCTGAAGTTCTACCAACTACCTAATAACAACAGGAAGTTACAACTACATACATCAAACCAATGTGTAGCCATAGAAATACATCACAACAATTCAAATTTTTATCTAGTTGTAATTTATGCTAATAACAAGTTCTTCTCATAACTATTGTCAGCCATACTGGCATGAAATTTCAATATGTTTCTAACATAAATCAATTATTTACTCTTATCTAATATTTTACAGCTACAATGAGGACACCCTGTTATCTGTAGTCTCAATATGTTTCCATGTATTAGGCATGTTTAGATTTAATTACCTTAAACTGTAATACTTAATCGATAAAACCGTTCAGCGGAAACATTCAAACATCCAACATAAGGATCTTGAAAGTTTGTGATTTTCACATACGTGAATTCGATGATGAGACCATAGTAGCAAACACACAAATTGGTTTCTCTCCCCTTCTCCCCTTACTGACCACACACATTAAGATAGAATGTAAAGTGATGGAGTCTTATGGGCAGGGAGATGACCAATTTATAGATGGTGTCATTTAATCTGAGACGTCCATCATATCTCAGTATCAACAGATGAGATTGGTTACTTGTAGTGGTTACTAAATGATTAATTTCTTGATAGTTGTCATTTAGTCTAATTTGTTTAATGTCATTAATTTAGAGGTTGCAATGATAATAATTGTCATTACTTTATTTTATTTTAGGCCATCAATTACATAAATTCATTTGGACCATTAATTAAGAGGTTACAAAATAATTATGTAATTTTATACATCCTCCCACTTTGCCCAAATTAGATAGAACCACCATATGAATTATGATACATAAACATTAATGTATTGAATCTCATTCCTTTGAATACATAATCACCTTACTAGAACATAATACTAAGTGTGGGTTATGGCGATCATGTATTATTTTCTAAACACAATTCCTTCCATTATGGTCTCGTAAGTGTTTCTAGAACATTCATGTTATAACTCGTTAGTAAAATTATGTGCATAATAACTAAAGACATTCATTGTGATACGGTGGGAGAACTGAATTGAAGGTTTTACGTTTGATCGCAAATGTTGCGGTTAATAAGAGTCACAACCAACTTTTCTTTTATCCAAAAGGAAAGGTGAAAAAGCACAGGAAAGACCTTTGAGATTGTTTCTTGAGTTCGGGAGGTAGATTATGAAAAGGGAAGGTATTAGCACCCTCTTCATCCATGGTTTCCCATGGGCTCTTAGTTACCTTCTAGTTCACTTGCTTTTTGTTTGAAATTGTGCTTGATGTGGTTTTTGAAAGTATTTTATAAAGAGGTCATTGTTTAGGCAATCTTTGTAATGATTCTTGTTTGTAAGAATGTATACAATGATGTTTGATCTTTTGAAAATGTTTCAATCTTGTAAGATGTTTGAAAGTGTAGGTGTTTGTTTTGAAAATAGCAAGGATGTTTGTTTTGAAATGAAGCAAGTAATTAGGAGAAATCTACCTACTCAAATGTCTTTTTTGTTCATTTTCTTTTCCTTTGACATTGTTGTCTTACCATTGATTTGGTAAGCAACCCTATCTTTGGATGTAAACGGGACGGGCGTGGGTCATCGTATAACCATGATTAGCAATGTTGCAAGGTATCTTAGCATTCTTTTTTAGGGACTAAATTTTTTATAAGGCAACTTTTATAGCATCATCGAGGGTCTATGATCTTGTATTTGATTGTTTTGGCTAAGATACCTTACATGCGTAATATGGCCATTTTGTATAAGGAAACCAAGTGGAATAACCCTAGGGGTGTTTGTGTGCAAATGTATTGTTTTCATGCTTGATTTAGTCTTGAATTAGGGTTTGCTATTTATTGGTTTTAAGTCTTTCCATACAAACCCTAATTACTAGCATGTTATATAGAAGCGATAAATTGTGAAATTTAAAGTTATTACGCTATTACAACATTTGTGGGGAGGGGTATATAATTTGTAAATGGAGATTGCAAGAATTTAAACCTAATTAGTCTATTACAACCATATTGAATTGGCATGAATATACAAGGAATTTAAATACAAAGTATAAAAATGAATAAATGTACAAAGATGCAAAATATGAAGAAAATGAATTTTGTTTGGTTTTCATGAAAAAAGATTTTGTCTTAACCTAATTTAAATAAAGAAAATAGTTAATTAAGTTTGAATTTATTAAGGAAAATATTTTAAAAGAAAAACCTAATTCTATTAATTAATCAAAAGAAAATAAGTTTAAGAAAAGTATATATTCTTTGATATTTTTTTATCTTGAAAATATTTGTAGTATTTTAAAATATTTTAGTCCTTTTTTATATTAAAATAATGTATTTTAAATGGTGTGAAAAAAAATAAATAAACAATATAATATTAATTAAGTTTATAAAATCTACTTAATAAAATGAATGAAGTATAAAAATATTTTTATTTATGGGAAAAATAAAATAAAATATATCAAAATATAAATATATCATTTTTGTATTTTTATGATTTTTTTAATGTTAGAAAAATAATTTAAGAAAATAATAAAAATGAAAATAAGAAAAGAAAATAAAATTGGACCAGGGGTGTCAATGGGAAACAGGGAGGTCAACTAGCAAAAAAAATAAAATGAGCCAGGCCCAAAGGGCCCAGCGCCTGCCAAACAAAAAAAGGGGTCATACATGTGAAAACATATGAAAAAAAATATGCAAAAGGGTACCACTGGGGCTCGAAACCAGGTCCCAAAGGTTACAGGCGCGCGCTTCTACCACTGGGGTGACTATACATCCGTTAACTTGTGTGAAAGGATAAATACATAACACAAAACGCGCCCTGATTACACTTCATCTTCAACCTCCAGCCAAAGGATCTGTAACTTGCTCATTTCTCAATCATTTTCAAAAATGTAAACATGTAAATTGCTCCATTTTGTCACACGAATTCAACCATATAAATATCATAAGCTATAAAACAAAGATGAATCAGAATTTCTAAAAGTACCAAATTCTGACCTAAATATTTCAGCAAGTTCAAACTCAAAAATCTCCTAGCTCAATCAAAATAAATGAAATTTATGGACATGTATAGTTTCAGGGCAATGATATCTACATTTTATCTTCACAAATGCAAGCCTAACAATGCCTAAATATGAAGATAGAAGCTCAAGAAAAATACCTCAAAACTGAAAATCGTGAAATGAACTTGAGCTTATTTCAGGCAGTGCTGATGATCAGGTTAGCTTCCTTAGACCTCTAGGAAGCTAATGCAATGGCGGGCTTGAGCTGAGGGTTGCTGGAATGGTCTGGAGAAGTCCAACTGTGATGCTCTGTTTTTGAACTTGGAAATATATGAAGATGGTGTTATAGTCATGTAACAGGGATATGGATGGCTTATGTATGATGTTTGGGAGCTTTAGGAGGCAAAAGGCGAGGAAACGCACGAGTGAAATGGAAGTTTGAAGTTCTTGGTCAGAATATGCAACAATGGTGGTTTGTGATGCAGTTCTGAGTTTTAGATGTTTTCAGGGCTTGTCCATCTGTGTGTTATCTTGCAAATAGTGTATGTATTTATAGGCAAGAGGTCTTATGTCTTATAACAATTCAGAATTTGAAAATCAAATGTTGTAGCATCTTTCTTGTTTTTGAAGCAAAGTTGAAACATCTTGTTTCAAGGCAAAGTACAGAGCTGCATAGAGTGGTTAGTACTTTGGACATTCTTGCTTTTGGTTTATAGGGTTTGTGTGTGCAGAAAGAACAAGTTCAATGCTCAAGGAGAATGGATTTTGTGAATAAATCCACTTTTCAAGAATAACAATGGTGCCTTTCTTCCAAAAATGGAAATGCAACTTGGATAATGGTTCAAATGCTTGGATAATGGCTTCATATGTTGTGTAAACATTTAATTATGGAGTGACAACCAAGTTTGAGGCCTGCAAAGCAAAGATTATGCAGCCTAGGATGGATTTGGTTCAAGTGTTCATCAAAAATGACTTGTAATTCAAGTGACAAAACCCTAACTTCTTCTCTTTGATTCTCCCTACTCAAGAATTATCTCAAGGAGTTCTTGAAAATTTTGGAAATCTTGAAATCTTCTCTACAACCCATCTTTGAATTGCTTTTGAAGATTCCCCTTGGAACTATATGAAAAAGTGTCATGAAGTTGGGTCAAAATCCTGACCAAATTAGGGCAAAATTTCACTAAGTGTTTAGTTTCATGACCACGTGTTCATAAAATTATAACTTGAGATCCAAGCATTTTTGGAAGGAGTTGTGTAAAGAAAAGTTGTATATTTCATGGAGATCTATAACTTTCAGGTTGGAAGTTTCTCTTGAATCATCTTGTATCATGGTGAAAATTTTGTTCAAAGTTATGAAAAAACATGAAATTTCCAACACTTAGAAAAATTTCTAAGTTTAGAAATTTTGACTTTTCAAAATGAAATCTTGACTTTTTGATTTCTTGATGAATAAGTTTCATATTTTGACATGTTTTGATGAATTATGACTTTTGGCACTTGAATTTGACCAAAAAAAGTCAAAGTTTGACTTTTCAGTATACAGTTGACTTTTAATCAGTTGACTGAAAAATTCATTTGTCAATCCAATAGACTTGCGATGTTTTGAACCATTCCATTAGTTAAAAATGATGCAATTGGACTCTTAATATCATTCCTTAAACCAATCGACCATTTT